GAGTGTAAACCTTAGAACTTGCAAATGATGGAAAACAGACCACAGTGTCTTAAATAAGATAAAGTATTTGCTTGACCTTTGTATGCTTTTACAGCTGATCGAAGCTGTAAAGATACGTGTATTTGAAAATCATTAAAAGCTGCTCTGAAAACTTATTTATTCAAAACCAGAAGACATTTGGAGTTGTTTTCTATAAATTACTTATATTTTATCTCACGGATGTATGTCTGCAATAACTTTCTGTAGTCACTATGATACATTTCAGTTACCTGCAACATAAAATATATGTTAATTAAAAAAATATCTGAGCAAAGGCAGGAGGATGGTGCAAGTTTTTAAGGAACACCAGATGTTTTCAAGCTTACATATTATTGTTCTTGATTTAAGCAATAGTTTAGAGTTATGCTTCTGAGTTTGAGCTGTTTTCTTCCATATTGAGTCACCTACAGAACTGTGCAGTAGCATCTGTACTGTGACTCTCGAGCTCCAAACAGGGTCTTTCAAAGCCACCCAACTCTAGCTGAGCATGGGGGAGACAAGGGAGGGATGGGGAGAGAGCAGCTTGTGTTAGATTGTCACTTGAAAGGTGACCTTCCTCTTGAGCGAAACACTTCCTCATTTTCTCCTGCAAGTTTGTATTAACTCTTCACAGGCACCACACATGATAAGAATTTTTCTTTTTTTTTTTTTTAGAAAGGTGTTATGTGTTTGTAATGTTTCTCCTTCCCTATACTTATTTTTTAATATCCCAATGTTCTTTGCTTTCTTTACTGTTCTGTTTTGCTTTCTTCCTTGATATTACTGATGTGTCAGTCCTAGCGTGTATTGCTTAATTTTTTCTTCCTATTTTCCCTACCAGTAGATCAGCTGCATCTTCTCATGGCATGTGCCCTGGTGGGCAGTCATCTCTGAACACTTAAACTGTTGTAGTTCTCTATAATGCTAAGCCAACTTTAAGTAAAGCTTTTAGAATTCTTTGACAAGTTCCACACTGCTGCAGGCCTTGTGACAATCCTTACAAAGGGTAATTTATAACTGAAACTTACAAAAATTATAGTAACTTTCATTTAAGTTTCACTTTAGAAAAACCACAGTGAGACTGAAAAACAGATTAACATCTGCATCTAGCCAAACAAAGAACATAATAGTGGAAGAGATCTCTGGGTCATCAAGTCCAGTGCTCTGCAAGCCTGGGAATTGCATCAGATCATTCTCTTTTCATAAACTTTGCCAGTGCTAAATTGAAGTTGTTACTTCTTTGCCCCCAGTGTTTCTGCTGAAGGCTGTTCCAGAGTTTGATTTATTTTAATGGCCAAAGACTCTGTAGTAATTTGCAATCTGCATTTTTTCAGCGACAGCTTATATCCAGTTGTTCTTTTGCCTGTGCTGGCCAGTAATTTAAGGAGAGCTTTTTTAAAAATCTATGTTTGAGTTTTCTATTTATACAGAATTTGAAAAATGAAAGATTCAAAATGACTTCTTAAAACAAGGCATGCTGATAGGAATTGAGATTTCCTTAAGTAAGCTGATATTGGCTGAAGTTAGAGTAGTAAGAAATACTACCACTTTTAAAAAGGAAATGCCAAAAGCTTTTGTCCAAGACAGTATTATTACTGGAATTTTTACATTATTTTTTAGTTTGGGGTTTTTTGTTTTTCCTGACGTAGATGGTGACATTCATACTAACTTGTATTTGGGTTTGGATACTTGTTTTTCTGTTTTATTCTCAGTGGAGACATAAATATTTTTCATGTGGAAACTTGCACTATCTGTACTGAATTTGTTATAAAATAGAAATTTGGGATGTAAAAGTATTTTATAAGCCTCCTGTACAGCAAAATCTGAATGGCAACGTAAAAAGTTAGCTCTTGAAGTTTTGTTCTACTATGTGTGACAGATTTATTATATTCAAATCTTTACATGGTGTTCCATATTATTTGTTAAGATCCCATTGTGCATAAAAATCAGCGGGTTTTAATTAAAGACATAATTTGAGATTTATATTCATAGATTGTTACACATATTCAGTGCTATTTTCTGTATTTTTATGTGGTTTTCACAATTTCGAGCAATTATGTACTCCCAAAATTAGGGCTTGTGCTCACATAAATAAGATTTGACACCCTGAATGTGAGGTGATATGAAATCCAAATAATGTTTTAGGTCTTTGAATGGCACTTTTCTAAAGATACTCTATGTATCTCTCCATAAAGGTTAGTGAGGGAACACCACATGAACTCTCCAATAACTGTGTCACATTAAAAATGTTGCAATATTAGGAATGTTAAAAAAGAGGAAAAAGACCAGAGAGTTCAATGGAAGTAGCTTGTGTATTCTTGATTCTTTGCTCAGAACATCAGAATTAAATGGTCTATCATCAATTGCACGTGCTTGTTTTCCTGTTCTCAGTTCTAGATAATGTCTTGTGTGTTCTCATGTGTCTTAATGTATCCTTGAAGGGAAAACAAAGCATGACTTTTTCCCTTTTCAGAAATGTATGTGATTTAGGTCTCTGAGGCAGCATCTCACATGCACTTTTCTATTTGAGGTGATTCATTACTGAGTTCCTCTCTCTAATTTAAGGCGCATGACACAAGTTCCCTAAGTGTTAAGCATATGTAGGCTCTCTTCTCTTCTGGTGACTGTGCCTCAGTAATTCTTCTGTTCATCTCAGAAATGTAGTACTGCTGCAATTCATTGCATATCTTTCTCTTTAAATGACATAGATTTTGAGGAAATGGAAACATGAGTTTTAGCAAACTGGGAAAAGCAACACTTCACTGTGTAGAACTGTGATCTCAGCTAATTTTAGCTGAGAATTTGATTAATGATCTTTCAGTACATAGGCTTTTGTATGGTACTCACTTGTTTTCTTAATTACAAGAGCAGGAAATTTCTAAAGGATGTACAAAAGAAGAAAATAACAAATCCATAAAACAGAGAAAGTAAGTTGTATTTTTACCTCTTTGTTCCATTTCCTTTCGGTATTTCTGTTAAGTTAAGATACCACATTATATTACACTATATGGCATTATAGTTATATTGGTCTGTCTTTATTTTGTACGTATTCCTGGTACTCAATCACTGTCAGGTTGTTGCAGATAGGAATCTAATCCATCAGTAGGTGTCAAGAGGTAATAAAACTGGTCAACCAAAATTTTCGCCAACTGCAGATATTTCCTATTTCTTCTATACTTTCTGTAGTGATCTGCTACTGGTGAGTCTTGCCAACAGGATGCTGGCTGATACAGCCTCTTATACAGTTATGACTGTTAAATTCATCCAAGTCTGTGAATGTGATCTTTTTAGTTAGTTCTTTTTCTTTTTTTTTTTAAAAAAAAGACCAAACACAACAAACAAAAACCCAAACCCAAAACCTCTTCTTTCTTCTCTTTCATTTTGAAATTCTGCATTGTTGCAGTGTCTTTAATAGACTAGCCAGGAACAACATTTGGGGTACTGGAAAGTAACCCGATAATCTCATTTTTCTGTAATGCAGGAAGAGCTTTGCTTCTGAGTAGTTGACATCAAAACAGTAATATACTTTAAAGATTAGCTTTATAAGGCTGATGACCTAAGTTAAGCAAAAATCAGCAAAAGTTAAAGTGTCTTTTCCAGTATACCAGTTTTGACTGCCTTTTAAGATATGAACTGTGTTAGTTTCATTGCTCCTCTACTGTGAACCTATGTGTAGTTGGGCTTCAGTGTTCAAGCTATTTCTTGTTAGCCGATTCATTGGAAGGAGGTAAACCTCTACATCCATAGAAAAGTTGTAACAGAAGTAAATCTACAATGTTGTGTTATGTTTGTAGGCCATTTTATACAAAAAGGCAATAAAGGCAACGATTCTGTCCTCATTAAAGCCAACAGCAAGATGTCTTCTAACTCAGTAAAGATTTTATCCATTAGGTAGTTCCTTCAGTGAGGCAGGAGAGGTACAGTAAGCTAAAATTTTTTCAGACAAAACCCCCACAAAAATAGAGAAAAATGCAGAACAGGCACACGTGAGATTTGTCTGTGCCACTTTTTAAGTGTTAGTTTATGTAGCACCAGATACTTCAGAGAAGTTATAAAGGACTAAAATCTACAGTTAAAAATTCTACTAATGAAAGCCTGTTCTCCTCAGCTTAATAGTAGACCATTCCTTGTCATATATTAGTAAGTCTATTCTTATGTGCTTCCTTTTGAAGTAAAAAGCTCTAATCCTTTCAATCACTATTCATGAAAAGGAGAAAACCACCAAGGTAGGACGGGAAAGAGGAAATTCTTACATGTAGGTTGTTTAATCTGAATTGTCTTTTAATACTCTTCATAACTAATATTACTTTAAAGGCATGCTTAAATTGATAAGATGATGATGATAAGTTCAGAAGGCCAGACTCCAATGAGGTCTTAAATATCCTCAGTTTAAAAATGAAAATGTAAGTTACATTTTTCAGTTACTTTATCTAAAGCCTGCCCATAAAAGTTCAAAAAAGTTTTAAAAGAAAACTTGAATATACCACAAAGTAACTGGGAAAGAAATCAGATTAAAGCCAGAAAGAGAGGAAAAAAAAACCCAAACC